AGATGACAAAATGAAGGACACATGGGATGAAGAGCCATATGAAGATGAGTCCCAATAAGAGAAATGGCCAATAAAAGAAATGGCAATAAGAGAAATGCCCCCCCCCCAAAAAAATCATCAGGAACAGACAATAATCTAATCAAACTGCTTTAATCCACATTGACATTACAGATATAGAACACAAAACAATAGCTACAGATTGGAAACAATCAATACACATCCCCCTCCACAAAAAAGGAAACACATAGGACTGCAGCAACTGTAGGATCATAGCATTGATCTCCCACACAAGCAAAATTCTGCTCAAAATTCTACAATATAGAGTCCAACCATACATGGAGAGGGAAATCCCAGAGGTCCAAGCAGGGTTCAGGAAAGGAAGAGGCACTAGGGACCACATTGCATACATACAGTGGCTAATGGAGTGCACCAGGGAATTCCAAAAGAAAATGAGCATGTGCTTTATAGACTATAGCAAAGCCTTTTGCTACATAGATCATTAAAGGCAAAGGAATGCCATTAATGAAAATTATCAGTGGGGGAAAAAGCCAGAAGTAAAAAGCATACTCCCAACATAATCACATGATCACGCTGAAAATTTTCAGATGACGTTGCACTCATGCAGAATGTATCCCGTGAAGATTCATGAATGCTCGAGAAACAAACCACTCATGGGGAAGTCCCAGGAAAGGTTTAGTTGCAGGGTCATTCCTGGATCTTCATGGGATAAGTCCTGTATGAGAGTGATCTGTCTGAAAATCTTCAGTGCAATTGCATAATTATTCTGGGAGTATGTCTTTTACTCCTGGCTTTTTTCCCTCCCATCTCATAATCTCCAAACACATGGGAGTGCCAACCTGATGAGGAATTTGTACTTAGGACAAGAGGCTGATGTTAGAACAGAACACAGAGAAACAGAATGGTTCCCATTTGACAAAGTGGTAAGACAAGGCTGCATCTTATCACAATGGAAATCTATTCTCCTGTAAATAAAAACCTAGTTCTACCTTCAGAGGCAGTAGAGAACAAGCCAACATGCTCCTCTTTGTGAAGGAGATTGGCCATTGACTTTCTCTAGGGAGAAAGAGAGTGATTTATCCAAGGTCACCTAACTGATTTCCATGGCTGAATGGGGATTTGAACCTTGGTATCACAGTCCAGTGCTCAAATGAGACGTTGGGCTATTGAGTTCCTGGATTGCATGACTTGTAGTGGTTGTTCCAGTTCCACATCCAATCAGGATTATACCTGAAATATACCAAGGTTTGTCCTTCCCTTTCCCCCCTTGGAATGTGGTGTGGGTGGGGTTCCCTCCCCTCCCCTCCCCACATAAATGCAATAAAGTAAGGACAGTCAGAGGAGAACTTCTGCTGCAAAGATCATACCCCCATTCCACACATTGGGACTGTCCGGAAATAGAAATGAGACAACAGAGTCAGATATTAAAATTTCAACATGTTCAGGTACAATTCCCCCCAAATCCCAATGCTTTTGGTCAGTCAGGACAAGTTCCTAGACACTGCAGTGGCCTTTGCAAACATCTGCTGGTTTTCTATCTGCTGCCCTACTGCAGGAGTGAAAGTGTGTGGAGATGTGTATATGACATATTCTGTCAAATGGGACCAATGTATATTAGATCTCCAGTTAGGCTTAACTTTTGGCACTTCTAACTAGTGAAACTTGTCTCACAACACATTGTCCTGGTTCAACTAGGGTTGTCACTGTACTCTAACTAAGATGGACTTTTTGTTGTATATGAGGCTACCTAACCAGGTAAATACTTCCTTTCAGATGATGTATTTGCTTTGCATCACAACACCATCACACTTTTATGCTCTAGTTTCCTGGTATTTCCTGCATGTCAAGCGGTTGGACTGGATGGCCCTTGTGATCTCTTCCAACATGATGAGTCTATGGACGTTATCACATGGTGAGTTGCGGGGAGAAAGTGGAAATAAACCGGATGAGCGGAAGACTTTAATTTACGGGATTTGTCCCGTTCCGCCTTGTCTGATAACTAAATTCAAATTTAAAAGGGGGTTAATTCGAACAAAAACCTGATCTTTTCAAATCCTCAAAAATCCTGAAAATGAAAAGATCAGATTTGCATTCGAATTAACCCCCTTTTAAATTCGAATTTAGTTATCAGACGAGGCGGAACGGGAAAAATCCCGTAAATTAAAGACTTCCGCTCATGCCCATTTATTTCCACTTTCTCCCCGCGACTCTCCGTGTGATAACGTCCTATGATTCTATGATTTGGCATATAGAGACATGATGAGCATTTACTTCTAAACTCAGCCATATGTTCATCAGTGTCAAGATGTGTCCTGGATTTGTACCACTTTCAAAGTAACCACAGTCTTTTTTTTGTGGGTTTTTTCGGGCTGTGTGGCCATGTTCTAGAAG